ACTAATAGCGTAGTGTTTTTTGTTTTTGTTGCTAAATGATAAATCGTATGTGGGCGCGCGAATAAAAATTAAATTAATTTAAATACGTTGTTACCAAGAAGAAAGTGTCAAACAAAAATTGATTGCCCTACTTTGTGTTTAGTTAAGTTTCTGTGCTCTGAGCAATTAAGAATGAGTTATCCATTTTAAATTTTTAATGTATGTATTTTATTTCCTTTTTTGGTTGGTGTCTCTGATTCTACCAACCAATATCATCACTAGTCTCTACTCGTAAAACTGAAGAATTGTCTAGTATTTTAGTTACTGTAAAAGTACCAAAAGTCCTATTTTTTAAAAGTGTTTATTTTTTAAAAACTTTTTAAATTCGTATTAAATCATTTCCTTTGAAATTCAAGGATTGATAAACCTTAACTTTTAAAAAAGTTTACAAATTTACTCAGTTTAACATTTTTCAAGTAGCATCGAGATTAAAAAAGTAAATAATATTTATTATTGAGTAACTGTTATTGTTTGTATTTTCAAAAGAAGAGACATTTTCCGTCGTTGTTAAGAGGAAAGCCAGACAGTACTAATCGATTTAAAACTTGTGTTTTGTTTGTTGTCATACGAACAAGTAGTTTTTGCACAGTGTTATCCTTGAAGTTGATTAATACAAGGATACAATTAAGATATGAGATCTGCAAGCCATGAGGCCCAGATTAACAGAGTATTTGCCTTGTTTAAAGAATGGGATAAAGGCAACGAAGTTGTACGCAAAAAGATTCTAACTGGTTTCATAGAACAAAGTAAAAACAAAACAGGTCCTGAACTGGAACAAGATTTCGCTGAGGGAGCAAGTTTAATGTTGATTCGACTCACAGCATGGCTTCGACTTACGTATCCTTTCTTTTCCTTTTCTTTTCTTTTCTATTCTTTCTTTCTTTCTTCTGTTGTTTTTGAAACATTTATTTTTATTTTTTGTAATTGCGTGTCTTTTAGTAAATGAATAAAAAATGTATTCATACATTTGGTTTTGGTACATATCCACTATAGTTTTATAAAATTATTACGGTATTTTAAATTTTTTTACAAGAAATCATCAAACAAAACAAATTCAATCAACAGACAAAGACTGTTTAAAAATTTTCATTTATTTTTCCAATTAAAAACAAAAACAAATGTACATTGGAATCAAAATTGTGTTAAAAACTTATGTTCAAAGTTTGTTTTTTGTGATGATGAATATTGATAATTTGTGTATGTATGTTTAATTGTTGAAATCTCACGTTGTTAGTTCAATTATTAACGTGGCAGTAAAGATGAAACGAATTTTCTTCCCCTAATCTAGCAGAAGGCCACTATAAGTCAGTCAGTGAGGATCGAACTTACTAAAATTTCTTGACGTATGATTATTATTTTTTTTACGACAGCCTATGAGAAAAATAAAAAAAAAATATAGGTTTTTTAGTCAATGTCATTAAAAAACGCTCTAGCGGTTAGTAAACATTTTTGTGAAGATATATTTGATATTTAGATATAAAAAAATTAAATAATTATGAAAACAAATCTCATATGACATTTTTTTTTTTACCAAAAGAAGAGCTAAAAAAATATTCATCTATGGTACAGTTGTTAGGAAACAGATGAGCACCAGTCTGTAAGTAGCTATGGTTACAGTGAAGGAGAAAGCTAATTGTAATTATCTTTTTCATACACGATTTTTTAATTTTAAAAAAGAATATAGAAATGAGCTGAGAAGAAGTAAAGTAATTGTTTGATTTTCCTCTTTAGCTTAATCACTGAAAAATTATTTGTATAAAAAATTCTCCATAAAGAAAGACTAAGAGTAAAGAAAGAGATATTGATTTTTGGAATGTTTGAAAACAATTTTTCTCTAAAAATTGGATCTTTTCTGTTAATTTACCCCAAAATAATTTTGGAGTGAATTAACAGAAAAGATCCAATTTTGGCAAAATATTAATTCAACCCAAAATAAAAAGAAATTATATTAATAAAATTCCCACCTAATTCTCTCAGAGCGAGGTCCTACCATTGTATTCCAGTTGGGCCACTCAAGTGAGCTATTTCTAAGTGTGGGCTTTACGTTCACGCTCACCTCAATAAACAGATTTTCTTAATTTTGTTTTTAAATTGTAAAAAATTCCTTTAAGTACCTTAAAATATCAACTCCCTGATTTTTAGTAATTTTTAAATTCTGAGGGTTGGAGTTGTTACAAGGCAAGCTAAACAAATTTTGATTTCAAAAGAGTGCCAGAAATTTAATAAAAAACAAACAAACTTTGATTTAAATATAATTTCTTGGGGTAAATTAATTTAATTTTAATATTTGCAACAAGTAACTTTATTATTTGGAGTGAATTAAAAGAAAAGATCGTAAAAAATATCAGCTCGGACATTTCAAAATTAACTTCAAAATTGAAATAAATTAATTTCGTAAAATTAATTAATCTAAGAAAAATAAATGTTTGTGAGTAAGGTTTTCATATAATAATCTTCTATATACCCAATTATAAGGAACACTTTGAAAATAATGCCTTTTATTTATTTATGGAAATTACAACAGTTAGAGGGAGCACAATAACACTGTTGAATAGAAAAAAGATTTCGTATAAAAAACAACAGTATTTTTCTGCATTGTCATCATCATAGGCTATGCATTTTTTAAGATGTCTTTCATTACTTAGTTTGACAGTTGTGAAGTGTCACCTGGAATGAGGGTTGTCATATACATCATTGTCACCACTCCTAAAATACATTACTCACTAACTATGCTCACATACATTGTTTGGTTTCTGTAAACATTCAGCAAGAGGGTCATGCAATGTCAAGGAGTACAATTATATATGTGTGTATATATATATATATATATATATATATATATACATATGTATCCCTATATATATATTTGTATGCATCTATATGCATGTACTTATATATGTTTGTTATATATATATATATATATATATATATATATATATATTCCCAAGTTGGCATCTATGCGGACGACACTACAATTTACTCCTGCCTCAAAAACAAATCTAGTGTCAGTGACAAAACTAACCTGGCTGTGCGTCTTGAAATGGACCTCCAATCAGTTGTTAATTGGGGCAAGAATTGGCTGGTCAACTTTAACGGCTCAAAAACTAAACTACTCTCTATAGAGATCCTTCTCTGCCCCCCACCATTAGAATGTCTGATAGTCAACTTCTTGAGAGCAACTCCCTGCGTCTGCTTGGTCTCACGTTGACTGCTGACCTGAGATGGAACAAATACATTGAGTCAATTGCTTTGTCCACCACGAGGAAAGTTGGCTCTCTGTGCCGCGCCAGGAAATTTTTCTCCCCGGAATCGATACTTAAATATACAAATCAACCATTCGCCCTTGCATGGTGTATTGCTGCCATATATGGTCTGGGGCACCTTCTGTTTACCTCGGAGTTCTTGACAAGATTCAGAGACGGATATGTAATATAATTGGCCCTGATCTGGGATCTCGTCTACAGACACTCTCTCACAGACACGTTGTCGCCTCTCTCTGTCTTTTCTACAAATACTTTCAGGATAATTGCTCCGATGAGCTGCTTTCACTGGTTCACAGACTCCATGAATTCAAGCGCCCTATGAGGCTGGCATCCCGCTCCCACCCTTACACTGTAGAAACTTTTAAATGTAGCCATCTCTTCTACTCCAATAGCTTCATACCTCGCACCTCTCGCCTGTGGAACACCCTTCCCAATTACTGTTTCCCTGAGAGCTATAATCTCCAACTAGTCAAATGTAATGTCAATCGACATCTCCAGTTACCTTGATCTATCCAGTATCCCTCTCCTCATCCTTTCTTCTATCTCTCCTATCTGCTCTCGCTCCAAATCTTCTGCAACCCCTGCATCCTAGTGGTTTCACGCCTTGCTCGGGGCGTAATGCTTAAAAAAAAAATATATATATATAATATATCTGTGTGCTTATCCATATATATATATATATATATATATATATATTCTTCTTTTCTCCATTATATGATTATCTCTGCTGGTCATTTGTTTTCATGGCCCTAAAAGCGTGAAATCCCGTCAAGTTATTTAATTTTTCCCTAATAGGTGAGTGTGACTGAAATGCATTTATACAATCTACTTCTATACAATACATATAGCTCTACGTAGCATCTTCTTTTGCCATTCTCTTCCATTCGTTGTCTTTTGCTAAGCAAATATTATTTAGATTTCTCAGTTTTGCCTTCCTTTATCTCTTTGAAAAGTCTGTGGACTTTGCCAATAAAAAGGACCAATCTACCTTTCTTTATGAGTTGTCATGGAATAAGTAAGATGTGTGGCATTTTATAATGTCACGCTTCTATTCATGTAAAAAGCTATACAAATTCCATAACAAAATCAAATAAATCCCCTGATATATATATATATATATATATATATATATATATATATATATATATGTAGGTGATCATGGCCCTCCACAGATTCTTTTTTTTTTTTTATCTGTGAATTGCTATGTGTTTTTGGGAAAGATAGTGGAGTGGTTTTCCATTTTCTCCATGGTTTTAGAATTCAGTTTTTATTCTCTTAGACTGGTTGCCATCCAAGCCCAGAGAATTCAGTCTACCTTATTGTTTGACCCATAACTGGAGGTAGAAGAATTTAATTCATACCTTTCCCAAGGGCACTTGTACGAAAGTGAACTTGATTCACTGATCCCACTTTCAGTGCTGATAACTGCGATGCTACACACACCTTCAGTTCTTTTACAAGATTGGACTGGACTCTATTATGGAGTCTTCCCATAGACCCTATCTAGGAAATTTACTATCTTGAATATCCAATAATATGAAAATGCAATGGCGACAAAATCTTTTAAGGAAAAAAGAATTAATGTGACATAAATTATGGAAATCAAACCGAAAAATAAAACACCTCCAATTTGATAATCCTTGATATATCTTAGGTTATTTGATAAAGATCATAAGTATCCAAGACAAGGATCCCTGGGAAGACTCCAGCAGTGAAAGCTGGACAGTTTCCTCACAGATGAAAAGGAGACTTCAGGCAACAAAAATGTGGTTCTATAATAGGATGCAGAGAATAACATGGATGGAGCATGCAAGCAATGAGGAAGTTTTAAAGGAAATTGTATGTGATTGCCTTTGTTAATATTATTCATTTGATGAGAAGAAAAATGACAAAATTTCTTTGTCAGTTTTAAAAATCTTTTTTCTTCAGTTTTAAAAATATTTTTCTTCATTATACATGCTTAATTAGGGCTCTTCTTTTATATGTTGCATTCCTTCAGGTCATGGGCGATGATGGCTCTCCACAACTTCCTATCCTTTGTAGCTATAAGTAATGTTTGTCTCCTTACTATCCCCCCCATTCCCTGTCCTGCAACTTATTTAAACAAACACATTGGGTAACTGCCTCTCTTGACTTCAAGTCTTCTTTTCTCAGTATGTGTCCTGGAAATTTCAAATCTCTTTCTAATTCTAAATACAAATGTCTTTTTTTGTTCCTATTTTCCTTAAAACTTCCTTGTTGCTTACATGCTTCATCCATGGTATTCTCATCATTCTACTATAGAACCACATTTCTTTTACCTGAAGTTTCCTTTTCATCTGTAAGGTAATTGTCCAGCATTCAATGTCAGAGTCTTCTTAGAGATCCTCATCTTGGGAATTTATGGCCTTATCAAATAACCTAAGATATATTAATGATTATCAAGGAGGACTGATATTATATAGCAGTTCTGCACTCTATTCTTTGTTTCTTAATACTTTGTTTAGTTTTTGGAAGACATCTTTTGGTATTTCAATGTTCCTTCAGATTTATGTATCATATTTTCTGTTACATTTGCACTTTCCAGATACTTAA